GAAACAAAAGATCAGACTGTACTCACATTTCTACTGTACTGTCAATAGTGGTACTTACATACAGACAACAAAGGAAACTATACATAGTCTATTTACCTAGCAATGGAAACATACTGTAAAAAAGACAAAGTGGGAAGAACTATACATGTACAACAGAAGGTAAAGGTGAGATTACGTGGCAGTTTTCCTATGCGTCATGTTGGTCCTGTCTGTTGGGCCACAGATTCTCATCCACATCACAACATATATTTTGTCTTGCTATGCACCGTGGAAAGAATCTTCTTGAGTGCCTAATCCAGCCTCTGCATGCATCTGCTGAGATGTCCTCACATGCTGCATCCATGGCAGCCAGCAGTGTCATCCGCGTATGTGGCTGATGATCATAAACTTTCCACCGCCAAGCCGAGAAAAACTCTTCAATTGGGTTCAGGAATGGGGAGTAGGGTGGAAGGAATTCAATCAGCATCCTGCGGTGGTGGACAAACCACTGCCTGATGTTGTCAGAGCGATGGAAACTGACATTATCACAAATTACTACATACTTTGGTACATCATCTTGATTGAGGTCCCTCTCCTCTTCAGGAATGACATTTCTATAGAGATTGTCTAAGAATGTAAGGAGATGCTGTGTGTTGTACGGTCCCATAATAGGAATATGAGCTAGCACACCTTGGTCTGACATAGCAGCACACATAGTGATGTTTCCTCCCCGTTGGCCTGGGACATCAACAGTAGCTCTCTGGCCGATTAGATTTCTACCACGCCTTCTGCCTTTGGCCAGGTTGAAGCCAGCCTCATCCAAGTATATGAAGTTGTGAGGTGGTTCTCTTCGTTAACGAAGGTGAAGACTCACCTGAGAGCAATTTCTCAATTCTGGACATATTTCTTAGCAAACATCTACTCACACTTTGTAGAAATCTGTACAGACATACAATTCTGAGAACATGTTCACTCATTTTGATAGTACAGACTTCCAACCTGAAAAAAAGACTAATTGGTTTGGTGGTTGTGACATTTCAGCTGAGAACCAGGACAAGTTATTTTGCACAGCTGGACAAAAGCAACAAGAATTGTCAAAAACAGCTGACAGATGTACAGAACCATTTGCATGTTGTCCAAAAGCAATTGCAATTTGATGAAAACAACAAGAAATTGCTGATATGATGTGAACAACTGACAACAGAATCTGACGGTTGAACGAGTAGTTCTGAGAAATGCAGTTCTGTTGTGAGAAATGAATGAAAGCAATAGAGAAAAACTGTAATCCTAACTTTAGTGATCCCCTGACCTTCCTTCTGGCGCCATCATCTGGTCAAAATTTCAACTTATCAATTAATTAGTTTTTCCATTAGTCTCATATATACTTTGTGTAAATTAGCAAACTTAGCAAGCTAAGATAGTGAGAAGGGTAAACATTATACTGTACCTGCTATACTTGAACATGTTAGCAGCATCACTGTTTTAGCATTTTGATATTAGCGTTTAGCTCAAAGCAACACTGTGCCTGAGTACACACTCACACAGCTGCTAACATGGCTGTAGACTCTTAATCTTGGTTAAGCTGTAGCTTAAAACTAAGCCTACAGCTTGTTTTGCAATGAACCTGTGCAGGAATGTGTAACAGCCCGTCTCTGACCACACAGCCTCTCAGAGACACCACCCCAGTAAAGCCAGGACATTCAGCTATATCTACTGATAGTCATACAAGCAGACTTCAGAGCTGGACTGGAAAAATGAAGCCCACCGTGTCAATTCACCCACATTATTTTTTAAATCCGAGATGTCAAAATTATGTCTAAAAGGACATAAAAAAAACAAGTGGCCCCTGGCAGTGCCAAAGTCGATTGGTCTCTGGGGTGTGTATGGACGAGGGTGTGGCAGGGGACAATGCAGTGATACCTTATTGGTGCACTGTCTGACTGTGTTGATGAGCTCCTGGATGACCAGGTCGATGCATTTCAGACAGGGCTCTTTCAGCTTAATGATCTGCTTTTTCACTATGGCCTCAAACGCCAGGTCTGGGGTGAACAGGCCTGTCCTGAAGGACATACAGACAAGACAGGAGCAGGAGAGGAGGGGTAGACAGACACACAAGAAGAGTGTGAGACAGGCGCACACACACAGGAAGACATAAGCAGACAGACATTGAGAAAGACCAGATGAAGAGCAGTGAAATACAAACCCAAGGAAGACAAATAGAAGGTCAACAAGCAGCCAGGAGCAATAAAAAAAAAAACAAAAAAAAAAAACTATAGACAGAAGAGCCAACACACTTAATGGAAACATGAAAAACAGGACACTGACACTTAAAGAGAACACTGAGGGCAAACAGACACAAGCAAAAAGCTGACAGACAAGTGTAGCAAACAAATGTGGGCTACATGTAATGTTTTGTTTGCAGATTGTCTCAACTTGCCTCACGCCATGGATGTTTTTGATGGCATAACTGATCTCTTTCCTCAGCTCCTTCTCATCAAACTCCATCTAAGACACATAATAATAATAATTTCATCAATAATAATCATGTAAGTTAATAATAAGTACGTTATTAAAATGAAAAACCATAACACTAGTCACCTTCACCAGTTCAAAGGGAAAGCGCTCATGAAAAATGCGGTTTATCTTTGCTCCACCAGACAAGTTGGAGGTGTCCACCTGGTCCCCAGACCCTTCAATGCACTTCTCAAAGTCCACACCAAACTGCTGCACCATCCTGTTCATTTTAGATAATATAAGGGAAATGTCTTGACTTTTTGAATTAATGTATTTGTGCATCTACATCTGAGGGTGTATACAGCTTGTACTGACTGAAGCAAGGCTTTGGTCTTGCGAGCAGGGTCGTCAGGGCGGAAGTTCTTGTACTCCTCTACTTCCTTCTCCAGTGATAACAACTGGCTTTGCAGTTTACTGCGTAACCCTGGCAATGTGTCGCGGATGTGGTTGGTAAGTTGCTGGAGGTAAAAAAAAGTAATAAATTAATTAATAAATATTTAAAAAGATGCTGTGTAGCTCTACTCTCTTGTTATGAAAATACTGGCTCCGCACTAGGAGGCATTTTGTGTGCATCTCACCTGATTGAGGGTCTTCTGCAGGTGTGGTGTGCCCATGCGTTCTGCAATGTGTCTGTATGCAGGGTGGGACAAGAAGAACTTCCTCTCAGCAGCCATAGCAGCACGAATATCTTTCTTTCCATCTATGTCCTTTTGACTGCGGTTCACGACCCCAATGTAACCTAAAGGAAAATACAGATAAATAGTAAAATGAAAAAAAAAAACTCTCTGAAGACCCAACTGAAGGCAAAAAGCTCTAAAACAAGCAAGAAGTGAAAGCAGCTACAGCAGAGCATCCCCGGAGGAAAGCTAATATTGAAGAATTCTGATATTAAGTTATGTAAACTGTCGCTTTCTGCCCCTGAAAACTGAGGAACTGCTGGTAATAAGGGCTTTTCATTTGATGAGGAGGTAAACACAATAAAATGATTTAACTGAGAATCAGTTTAAATAATATAATTGTTACATTTGAAGCCAATGTATAGTATTACAGAGGGACACCATGAATAATATGTTACTGACAGTTCTGTGCTGTGTGTGTGTGTGTGTCTGATAAAATATCTGGGCTACAGTCTGTTAACATGTGGGCTAGTGATAAAGATATTTGGCAGTAGTGGGCATGTTCACAAAACCGACTGTCAGTGGGTTTTGATCGGCAGGTTTCCCAAAAACAGAACCACAGAGCTAGCAACAGCAGCACCCTACGCACAAGTGTCGAATGTAAGCATGTATATTGCCACGGGTGGATTTACATATACTGTAGCATTTAAAATCAGGTTCAAGGATTTTATTGTCAATTCACCATATGTGCAGGAAATACAGAAATCGAAATACTGTTTCTCTCTCACCTAGTATTGGGTGCCATAACATTTAGGAACTAAAACAGAGTAAAGTAGAATAAAAAATAGAATAGAATAAGAACTGGATTAAAGTAATTAGGATAAATCTAAACAGTACAGCCAATAAGAGGTGACTCAAAACTGTGTACAGTCAGTGACAGTAGTGCAAACATTAATAGGAGATTGTCAGGTGGTTCAGCATCACCAGGGCCGTTGGTGATGAGGTGCAAATAGCATATGAGGTATACATGGACAGTAGTGTAAATGACCAACAGCAGCAGATATCCTGGCAAAAAAAATAAATAAATACACATATGGTCTCACCTCTGCGGAGTGGCAGCAGCTTGTTTTCCAAGATGTCTTGTGCATCTGTCCCCTCGTCCATCAAGTCCAGTTTTGTGATCACACCGATGGTCCGCAGGCCTAAAAAACAAGGGGTTGTTGATAACATCGATGTTCTAGTATTCACACATGGAAAAGGAAATCAGAAAGATAATTTAATGATGCTATTTAAGCAGTTCAGTTAAAAACAAGAGTTAATAATGTAAGAAATCATGAAGTACCTTATGTCAAGCAACACGGTTACATTGTTACATACACTATGATGCTAATTACATATTTCAGAGCATAATGGTGGGTTGTGTCGGCTGCTGATGAGGGGCGCTAAATGAATATGCAGTTGTGTTACATTCATGTAAGCCTGCAACACAAGAACAGTCAAGCATTACATTAAACACAATAAGTGAGACTAAATGGTAAAGGTGTGTTCAGGAACATTGATGACACTTATGCAAGTTAACGGGGATTGTACACAGTATATAGGCTAAGTGTAAATGTGCTGAGGATGGTGTGAGCATACTCAAAGTTACTTTTACCAGTCAGCAGTAGGAGTCATGGTTGTACTGGCCTTTTACATTAGCATGGTATGTTTTATAAACATTGAAGTTATTTCAAATCATAAACATTTTAGTGTTTTTGTTAACAGTGTAAGGACCTATTGTGCACTTTATAAAAGCTCTATTCTTGCACAAATAATGTATTTAATTTTTTTTGTTGATTAATGCACTGCATAGAAACATTGCAAATGCATTGTTTAAATAAATGTTTTTATTTTCATTATGTGAATTTTTGATTTCTGCATGTTTTTACATTATATATTATAAATGATCAACATTAAAATAGTTGTTGGTTGTAGCCCAGTTACATTTAGAGAAATATCAAGAGAAAGGGTAACAAAACAACGTAAAGATGAACATGATCCTAAAAACAAACACTTTTCTCAAGGTCTCTCACACACAGAAGCACATGCAGTTTCCCATACCCTGAGGATCCACCTCCTTGGCAATCTTCAGGGCGTCGGAGTTGGCCAGGTCCATGTTGGCCGGGGTGACGGCCAGGATCAGGCAGCTCTCCTTGGTGATGAACTGCAGCAGCATGTCTCTGATCTGGTGCTCAATGTCTGGAGGCTGGTCTCCCACGGCCACTTTGGTCATCCCCGGCAGGTCGATCAGAGTCAGATTCAGCACTGAGTTGCGGTCATGGGTTGGAAGAAAGTAAGTAAATCAGTTAGAGGCTGAAAACTCGCTGAGTTTATACACATACTGTAGGTGTATGTGTGTTACCATTAGGGGAGTAGACACGGAGGTTGATGGGGATGGGGGAGATGCCCTTGTTGGATCCAGTGAGACGGTCTGTCTCTGCTTCGATCTCCTGACGGACCTCCTCAAAGTCCACAAACTTGCGGCCCTTACAGTGCAGAAACTCTGCATACTCTGCATGGTTAGACATTTAGACAAGACAAATATGATAAAGCAGGAGACAGAAAGTGTAAAATGGCTAAAGGGACAGTTCAGAAACTTTAACTAGGAATAAAACATGTAAGTTATACTGAAGATCACCCTCCAGTATGACTGAAACATTCACTGTTTTGTCACACTTTCTCACATTTTGTTATCATTTGAACATTAAAAAAGATGAATTCTTTATGAATGTTTATTAGTTTTCTGTTGAGACTTCTGATTTTAGCTTTAGGCACCCGACTACTCATTGCATTTAAGGGAGCTCTTTCCCAGCTGTTTGACTTGCAACTTGCCTGCTTTATTGTTAACCAGCTGGAGGATGAGAGGACGACGGGTGACAATGCCAGACCCTCTGGGCAAAAAGTCCCTGAGGGAGAGGGAGAAATGAGGTTACACACACACACACACACACACACACAGACGCACGACTATCAACAGGCTGATGCCCACTTAGCAGAGTGACATATGTCACAACAGTATGTCAAATCAACTTTTTAAAGTAATAGCATTCATCTTTGATTATTCCACTGCATGACGTTTCCAGTAAATACTAATTATCTGCTTTAAAAAAAAAACCATTAAAAACAAGCAGGTCAACATCTTGTTTCCACTCATTTTGATCAAAATACTGAACATGTGTCAGCTTCTAACAAAGGAAAACTGCTCCCTAGAAACATTATTTACATATTGCAGCCTCTGTACAAGTGTGTGCATTACTGATCCAAGGCAAAGACTGACTTACAACCCTGCTCATTTTAATAGTGCACAGAGAGAGTAACTTCTCCCAGAAGTACATGTTCATCAGAACGGAAACTCCTGTTCAACAGTCGTGATTATTTCCAGGTCACCGACTACACATCTCTGCAGGCCACGAGGATACGTCTGTCGGTGTGTTTGCTGGGTCAGCGGCAAAGACGGCTTTTTTTTTTTTTTCCCCCACGTTGGGTAATCAGGCCTCACAGAAACACACACATTCGAACACATACCCTACGCCTGCTGTCCACTGCTGACAGAGCAGTCAGGATGTTACACAATTGCAATTCCCATAGACTTTCATAATCTCTTCCCCTCACTCACAAAGCTACAACACGAATACTACATTTACCAACAAGACAGCTAATCAATTAAATTATAAAGTCAAACATCTCAGCCAAACATCTGCTGGATACAAATGTGGGGGTTTCTTTTTCCCATTATAGTATAAAGAACCTCTTTGTGCTGCTGGTCTGACATTAGTTTGGACTGTGGTAACTTAGGATGAACTCGTCCTCTTACTTTTTAATATTTTATAGTCTAAACCAAGTTCCCAACTGGAGCTGAAGCAGAAAAGCCGATTAATCCATCAGTCCGCCAAGAGGAGATTAAAGTGCAGCAATTTTGATTAAAAATTAATTGTTTCAGTTATTTAAATCAGGCAAAACATGTCAAAGATTTTCTGCTTCCAGTGTCTTGGATGAAAGGATGTGATGCTTTTTACAGATGTATATGAACCCCTGTTCATTCTGTTCAACAAGACACGACTCCCTATCCTCAGGTTGCAAACCCCTTGGCTAAAAAAAGACAACACAATAAATACATTCATCAATAATGGAAGTAAGTGTTAGCTGCAGCCCTGACTGACTAAAACATGAAAACAAATACTGGTCACACAGTTGCACTCTGCACGTCAGTAGGCTAATTAATAAACAAACCCTTCTGTGGGTATCTGGTGCCCAGTGTGTCATATACACATGACAGTGCAGCTGGTGACATCACTGATGACCCCAGCACAAACACATCAATGCCCCTACTGTCTGGCCCAGCCACTGCTTGGGACTCGGAGACAAAAGGCAGCAGGAAGAAAAAGGAGATGTGGCCACCTAATCAACATTCCCTATCTGCTAGGCAAATGAAATCATATAGAGAGGAGTAGAACGTTTCCTGTTCGATGCACCTTCACCTACAGATAAAAACATGAAGTTATGTTCAGTAGATAGGCCTGCACAACAGCAACACAACCGTGTTTTATTCCCCTTTCCCTGTGAACTGATTTCATCCCAAGCTTTGTGTTGATATGCTCCGACTGTGACTCAACTTGCCAAAGTGATTCCACACTGTTACAAAGTGAGCAGCTCAATTCTAACATGTGGCATTAATGTTGGTTGGCCGCTATTTGTCATGAAGGATTCACAGCTGCTCATTGAAATTCCTCTTAACTCTTTCATCACAAAGAAATTCAGCAGTGCTGCTTGCACAGACTCCTGCCATTGTCATTTGTACTGTGAGGGTAACACAGTCTACTGCACATATGATTCATTGTTTAAGTCCACCTTGAAAGTGAAACATTGTCCCACCTGACCTATGCAATGTGAGGCTTACAAAAATGACTTTACAACCCAGGGCGAGCAGTCTCAAGGTGGAACAGTTGTAAATGTTTGACAGAATGGGCCTAATAAACAGATCAGCGTTAACAGCCTATATCTGTAGAGGAAATCATATGTAACGGCTCTATCTATACATTTAGATATTGGTTCTAGACTAAAGTCACTTTTAAACTAATTTAAAACCAATTCTTCTTCAATTTCTGTTCCTTGATCAACAGCTTTTTTTTGCGTAAAATGCGTAACTATCGACCGTGAATAGCTCAGCTCCAAAATAGAAAGAATCGGTTGGGGAAAAAACTGGGAGGCACCGACTCACAGAGCGCGTAACCAAGTGCCTAGCTGGCGACCTTTACGCAAAAGCTTGTAGTTTATATTAAAAGAACATCCACTGTCGCAAATTAAATCAAATTCACATTCACTGTATCGGATTAATCCATCGTTAAAGTAAAGAGTACAACCTCCCAACGAAATTCTCCAACACAGAGCTCTTCCCTGCGCTCTGACCACCCACGACCGCTATCTGCGGCAGGTCCAAGTTGCAGCTCTGGCCGATGGAGCTGAAGGCGTCCTGGAGCTTGTTAATGAGGGGAATGAGGTCTTCCATCCCCCGGTTTCCCATCGTGGCACCTCTGTCAGGCCAGCGGGGTCTCTCCTGATCCCCTCCCTTGTCAAATAAGCGCTAAAGTGTCGCTCTTAAAGCAAACCAAAAGTTCCCAGATGGCACTGTAGTCTGTCACAGTCTGTGTGAGTTTACTTCATTAAAACACAAAGGAGCGAAGAGCCAAGAGTCCGGACAACTGTCCGAGCAGGACCGAAGAAACAAACTGAGGACTACAACACAAAAGTGCCCACATTAGACTAAAAGTCCTGTCACCATCCGGTCAGGCGACAGCCAGCCTCCTCCGGAGTGTATGGCCCCGCCTCGACCTTCACCTTCCCCTGTCATTGGTCAGCTCGGACGTCTGTCAGTACACACGTCAAGTCAGCATTTTTACAAGATTTTTGTCTTGCACTTTGGCTCATGGAGACAGAAAAGCCTCTTGTATGTGCTTCACCACCTGCTTGATTTATTTTAATTTATACGTGTTCCAGTTACAAGTTCTCAAATATTATTTCATCTGTATCCTACTTGAGCCCCCCAGCCCACCTCCACCCCTCTGCTCCCTTATAATGTTGGATGGATACTATTTCTTAAACATTTGGTGGTATTTTATGGTATTGTATTTTATGTGCAAAGAATCAGCTTGCAAAAGTTGTAAAAGTAACCTTGGAAAAATACTATATACTGTGGCAATAAAGGTTTTTTACATACTCACCAGAGAGAGAATAAGGCCTTTATTTTATAATGAATTTTAGACAAAGGTTCGTTTACAAAACCTTTTTAACTTTTGCATGAATATTCTTTTTATGTTTGTTTATGCTGTTAAAAAATGTATTTTATGTGATTATAGCTGTCCTGTGGTGCCTACTCATGTAGTTAAGGTGTAACTCCTTCCCTTACTTGTGAGGTGGCACTGTGTGTGAGCAGCAAGGTTCCCTGATCTCTACCTGTCTCACTCACCTGACCTACACCTGAGGCTAGTGGGTTGTTTCGACTGAGCTAAAGGCATAAATGTAGTTAGTGCCTTTGTGGCCGTGTTTCTGCAAATGCACCAACAGCACTGAGTACAGATCATTCAGTATTTAATTTCAGTGATCTGAATTGTTTGACATTATTGTAAAAAACATTGCTGCACGCTGTTTAAAAAACATGACAGGTGTGATGCACAACAATGTGTGTAGTTGTATATGTCAGATTCATTCACAATTTCTAAATGACTGTAACAGCTTTTTGATTTAGATCAAACAGTGACAGTCACCCTCCACAGGTGACCTGCAGTTGACCTGTGCTCTCAGTCTGGCTGAAGCGAATGAAGGGAGCAGGTCACTTTCTCCTGTCTCATGCTTTTTCTATTGTTCTGTCAGAATGATAATCTGCCTACAGGCCTCACACCCCGAGGCCTGTTCCTATGTGTATTGAGAAGCACTTCACTGGCTGGGCGCCATATCAGCCACAAGAGGGTGCTGCAGACCAAAAACCAGATGCAGAAGAAACACTGATCTACGGTATCTCACATGGTGCATATACTATACTGTGTTGGAACCTGCTACAGTCAACTCAAAATGCTTAAGTTGCAAAACTGAATCCAATTTTTAGTCTCATTAAACTGAAAACGGGGTGCAATTATAATCAATTCTTTACTCTAATCAAGATAGACACTGTGATGCTGCCTACAGTATGAAGTGTGAGATATCTGCATCACTACCTTTTGCTATTTGATAAAAAAAAAAAGTGATTTAACCACTTTGGATATTGTAATATTGAGAAAATGATAGCAACGCATTACAAGGTATTTCAAGTAATTACCAATGATCAAGTTTAAGGAACAAATCGAGAACGATTTCTAATTAGCAGCTAATTAATAGCTACTTGTACTATATCCATGAAGAATTATATAATAGATAACTAGTGTCTTAGATTTACAAATGTACACAATCATCAGTTAATAAATAATTCTGTTAACTCTGACTCATCTGCTGAATTGAAACCACTAGCCAGTAACTTCCTTCTTTGCGGTACTTATTTTTGTGACCACTTAGGCAAAGTGGTTCTTACACACACAATTACCTTATAACACTGATTCATTTTGGTGCCTTCTCAAGTAAAGTACAAACTGAAATATAGCAAGTGAGCTTTTACTGAGAGTATAACATGATTCCTAAGCAAAATTTTTATTATAATATACAATGCACACTTACATTAATATTCACGTCATATTATTAGCTACACAGCTGCACTAGATGCTAAGTAGCTAACATAACTAGTAAACTCTAAATTGTGCCAAAACAGGGTCCACCACTCAAAGCATTTGCCTAATTAGTGATGGTATCACCATGACAACTGTTAAATGGGTAATTAAAAAGATAGGCAAACCATTAACACATATTTTTAACATGTCATTTCGACTTGGGCAGTTCCCTAACAATATGAAAATTGCAAAGGTTATTCCTCTGTATAAATCTGGTGATAAACACAACTTCACGAATTATAGGCCGGTTTCTCTGTTGTCACAATTTTCAAAAA